GATTTTATTTCAATCATAGGATTAAAAGACTCCCTATGTCAGTTCAGGACAGACCATATTCATTCATTAGCATTTAAGAATAAATTGAAAATCTAAATAAACACAGATCCCACTGCTTTTTTTTTTCTTTTAAGATAAAAGAAATTTAACATTAGTAAAATGGAATTTTCTTTTTAAGGAAATTTAATATCTGTTAGTACAACGGGTATTATGAAATTCTAAATGTAGCCTACCTCTTTTTATAATTCAGCAGCAAATATTCCTAGTTGATAAAAATCTAAATGGGTGGGAGTGATATAACTAAACCATTTCCCTTGTTCCCCTTTTGTTTTCTTGGTCCTGGTTAAGCAAAATATTTAAGGTAAACATTTTTCAAGAAGTTTAATTACCTTTGTTCAGATAAAACTGGGTTGATTAAATTGCACTACAATCTAGTTCCAAGTTTGTCTTTAAAACATGCAGCATGTTGTAAGTTAGAAGCTTCCAATTCAAGACCATCCATCAAATATTAATGTGTTCTAATGGAAAATCTTCTCTAGAGGCAACTCTTTTTTGCTTTTAACGAGATTTTTGTCAGAATGTTTTGTCAAGCTTTTATTTCAAACTTGAACACAAGTCATAAGTGGGAAGTCTTTTAAAGCTAACTCATAACAACAAAAATGTACAAATGGCAGAATTATAGTCACTAATCAGAAAACGTGTTTTTATAGAGTTGGCCTCATTGCTGTAGAACGATTGCCTTTTAAAAAAAAAGATATATATTTTCAATGCCTTGCATTTTCTCCCCAGTCAAATGCATGCTTAGCATAATAAAATGATTCAGAGGAATAAACTACATTTAGTTTTTCATAGGGACCTGAAATCATGTTATTTCAAACAGGACCCTATGTGTATGTGTTTATCTGTGCCTATTTTTGTATTGTTTTCAGTACAAATGAAGTGGGAAGTCTTTTTACGCTTCTACGCTTACATTTCCAGAAAGGCAAAGGAAATTGGTATTGAGAGTATTCACAAATGTACTGTAAAATGTTAAAATCAGCCACCATCTCTGAGATATTTATCAGGCAGATTTTCCTACCAGTTTCTTATGATGCTCAAACTGCATTTCTTTAATGAGGGTTCTTGAGCCCTTTACTTTTTTTGTAATATTAGTATAAAACAGTTCCACCACAAAACCGCGGTAGACAAAAGCGCGCTCGACGAAAGCGCGTACGTGATGTCATCACAGCGCGACGAAAACATCGC